CTTTATTAACGCCGCCCAGGCCGGGCCGGCGTGGATGAGGTCGAGAGCGAGTGAAGGCCCTCGGAGCACCCGGCCAACCTGGCGCCACTGGCAGATAACAACAACGGCAGTGGCGGCGGCGGCGGCGGTGGCAGTGGCAGAAACGGTTTCCACTCGCCAGGGCGTGTGTCTGCGGCGGCGCTACTGTAAATGTTTATTGAGACGTGCACGCTGTCGCTGACCGTGTTTGCGTTGCACGCAACGGATAGGGCTCGTGTTCATAACCGCACAAAGCCACGTGGCGGTGGGGCGGTGGTACCTCCTTTCTCAGATTCCCGTCGCCGCTGTTTTCTTTCGCCAGGGGTGCGCGTAACGACGACTCGCGATTTGTCCGTTAGTTTCGGTTCTCTATTTTTCCACGTCTTTTCCCCTCCCCCCTGCCGCGGCGCGAGCATTAAGAATGAATTGGGAACTTTCGCACGCCGAGAGTGTGACCCCCCCCCCCACCACCGCCTTTTTGTTTTAGAGAACGGCCCACGAAAGAGGATAACGCGGAACTACTTCCCGAGTTCCCTTCCTTCAGAGTGACCTCAGGTCCACGCAGTATGAGGGAAGTGTGGTGGGGGCAGGTGGCAGTCAAACAAATAATTTTAATTATCAGAACTGAAAGTTTATTTGGCAAAATGTAAGTGCAGAATAAAATTAGATTTTTGATCTGTTCAAATTTTTTTTCGTGTGCGGTCATTCGTGACCGTTAGCTCTTGAGAAACCTGGTGTAATCTTAGGCAGCAGCTGGAACCCGGATTGGAACCTGGCATCTCAGCGGCGCCGGCTCCGCTCTCGGGAACTCCGAGCCACCTGGCACCGCCTCACTAGCAAGGCAGCTCTCCATTCTTGTGGCGAGCCGTCTGCGTAATAATGAAGTTTATAAGCAAATAACGCACGATCACGGTGTGTAACGCTCTGCTAATGCTGAGGGTGCAGTGGTGACCTAGTGATTGGCGTGCCGCGCGATGAGAACGGCGACTCGAGTTGGATACCGGGCCACGCATGCATAGGAAGGCCCTTCCTCATAGAAAAATTACGCTGCAGGTTTTACTCTTTTGGGATTGTGCACAGCATTTCTCGCCCGCTACCGCCAACACGGACATTCCCGAGAAGTGGTCGCGAGACTCGCGAGATTCGCGAGATTCGCGAGATTCGCGAGATTCGCGCGTCAGCGAGGCTTTCCTGGGCGAATGCACGACGTGAAGAGAATACAAAAGAGAGGCGGTTCAAATTAGTCGACGATTCTCTCAGAGCAGAAACACACGGGTGCTAAATCGAACCACCGTGCGAGGTGTGGCGGACGCGAAAGGTAAATTCCGCTCCTATTCACGATTGCAAATCTTCGCCACCCTAACCTGGCGAGTTAAGCGGTCGCACGTTCTCGGGAAAACACGGAGCATCGGCGTTGTGGGATTTGGGCGCGTCGAACCGAGTTTGGGTGACGTCACCGTGTAACGTTTGCTCCTGCTGCTGCGTCGTGAGCAGCGTGCACCCCGGGTACCCCCCATTTGGTGTCGTTATTGTCGTCGTTGCCAAGCGTGTCTATGTGTAGCTGCTGTCATGAGCCGAACTGATAACCTGAGCCGGGCCCAGCTATCGGATACTCTCCGACGACCAGGCTCCCCCACGCTCGCGTTGCGTGCCAGCTGCCCTGTCGTGCCGCCCTGGCGCGTCGTTCCACCTTCTCGCCAGGTGTCACCGTTGAAGTGTGAACTAAGCTGCTGTGCACCGCACGAGCCCGGTGATTGCTAAAGCACCTACGATTTAGCACGGTCGGCTATGAATGGTATGGTGCGATTTAAAAGTTCTACATACACATAAACACGTACCGTTTGGTGTAAAGTGTAGCAATTTGTTTGCAATGAGTCTGGTATATAACACACAGGCTCTCGTAACCATAACTGCCCGCTGATGCTGGTTGTAGCGACCAGCGAAACATCGTACCCAGTTGTTAAACGTGGTGCGGATCGCTCTCCAGCAACAACACCAGTGGTGCTTCTGAAGCAGTAATAAATTGACACGATCATCACGTGACAACTTTATGAATTGCCTGTGCTAGTCATAAAGTACTACACACTTTTTACTTGCATGATCTGACCCACAAACCAATAATTACGAGTCGTAATGTTTTATTTTTGCACACTGCAGTTCATGCTAATTACATCACACAGCGAGGGTAGCATCGGAGGGAAGACGGCCAGAGCCAGTGGCAACAATTGTCCAAGCTCTGTTGTCCTATGATGGGATATTTGGCCAACTCCAAATTAAGATGGATATATTTGTGAGTGTTTGTGCACGTGTGTGATCTATGAGTGGGTGGATTGGTGGCCTAGTGATTAGCACTGCACTACAAACTCTGAGCAACCCGAGTTCGATTCCCGGCCACGACCAACATCAGCGGCAATTTGATCTGAACCGGATCTGGGCTTCTTAAAATGGTTAAAATGCAAACATTGTTCTTTCTTTACGTCACATGGAATGCGTTCAGCGCATGCGACGCGAAATGGCGAAATATGTAATTCAACGGAGCAGATTGAACTCGGAACAAACTCGGTAACGATGCAACGTCGGTCATGTTGGCATGTTCTTGGAACTGTTAGGCCGTTGCCATGTCCTTGTGACCTTTGGGCCAACGTTGCCATGTCCTTGTGAACTTTGGGCCAACGTTGCCATGTCCTTGTGACCTTTGGGCCAACGTTGCCATGTCCTTGTGGCCTTTGGGCCAACGTCGCCATGTCCTTGTGACCTTTGGGCCAACGTTGGGCCAACGTTCCGTGTTTACTGGGACCGCACTGCGTCGGGTCACGAAGAATGGCATTTGTGCTGCTGTTTGCTGCAGACTCCCATGCCTGTGCTCTTCCAAGCAAGGGCGAGACATTCCGTACATTTATTCCTGGTCAGGAGGGACAGGACCTGTGTTATTACATTTCCAGTTTTTTTCTGCGGAATTTTAGCACTGAGGTGCAGCCGCGAGGCAGCGAGCGGGACGAGCCGCGGAGAGGGCTAACCCAGAAAACGTGCCGACGTCAGGCCAACGTTGACACGTGGGCAGAACCATTGGTCCAATGTTGGCCTCACAATTGGCCCTAGGTTGGCCCAAATTCCCACGTTTCCTGGGAAGCCGTCGGTAAGGAGCGGTAATTACTCTCCACCCCATGCCCTCATTCTACTGCCGCGGCCACTACGGCGTTGCGCGGAAACAGACAGCAAAAATCCCGTGGAGAGTAACCTACTGATACTTGGTGTGGGTTTCTCTCTCTAGCGGCGTGTAAATACGGCCGCAGAAACTGTTGGGGGCATTCGTTGTGGAGAGAGGCGGTCGGAAGGTCCTCGGCCGTGGAGAGAAGAGGAAGGTCTTCAAGCCTGGACATGAACATGGGCAGGGAGTCGACAGCATGGTTGGCAGGGGAGGGAAGGGAGTTCTAGACTACGGTGGCATCGCCGCCGTTGCGATGTGTCGTAGAATGCAAACTGCAAGATTCTCTAAACCAGTGGGTCTTCACCTGGGGGTGCGAGGATGCCCTTTTTGAGAACCAAAGGGAGGGTGGGGGGGTGCAAGCTGCAGTCAAGGCTAAAAAACCACTGCTCTAAATGGAGCTTGATCCGAAGGCGCTGTACAAAATGTGGGACGTTATCGTCGCAAGGGGAAGCCGGCAGCAACAGGGCAGTGTGCGTTCTCAACGAAGGCAGCTCCGCAAAATTTCTGCGACCTCACGGTGAAGAGGTTGTTTTGTTAAAGTTTTCCAGATGATACGTACGGGATGTAACTTTTTTGAAAGCGTTAGTAGATTTATAAAAAAAAAAAAGCCTGCGGTTCGACACACGCACCCAAACATTGCTTTCTCCATTGGCACCACCCCGTTAGTCCGAGGTGCGTCCGATGACACTGCGGTGTTTTACGAACGTTCTGCCTCCAAGACGGGGGGACATTTATATCTGGATCGCAGTCCTAAATTAGTCAACGCGCTAAGCCCAAGCCAAAAAAGCCATTCCGTAATTGCACTGACGATTTACTCTCCCAATTTAAACGGTCTTGGATGCGATTGCAAAATAGCGGAACTGCACTCGTGTAACAACACATCCGAAAAAAATCGATAACGTGACCATAAAGTAGCGTGCTTTGACACACGTGTTTTTTGTTTATTTGTGTCCACGTGTTGTGGGGGAACGAAATGGGGAAAATGGTCGTTGAGACATTTGTAGGCAAATGAACGTTTCGCGAGAAAGGAAATCGGCGAAATGTTGCTTTGCTCGCACGACCAGAAACTTCCGGAAAACCTGCGTCTCCGGAACCGCATGCTGGCTCTTTTAAAGAACTGCTCCGTGGCGTTCTTTATTTTTAAGGAGCCACCGTCTCGAAATTAACCACACAGTGCGTTGCGGCTTATTAAAATATTGCCAGTTTTGTTGTTGTTGTTGTTGTTACCAAATTCGAAAAAAAAAATGCCGCCTCTTGTCATATTGGTTGCCGACCCCCTGGCCCCTAAGGTCACCCGAATTGTCAGATTCTCAGAAGCTGAGTAAGTGTACAGGTGACCCACAGTGCTTGCGCCCAGCGGTTTTGGGCGTGGGGGCGTCGAATGAAATTTGCCGAGCATCTCCTTGTTTGCGTTGGGGGACTGTCTTCGGGTTCTACGGTTCCCCCCCCACCCCCCCCCCCCCCCCACGTGAAGCCAAACTCTCACTGTCCCTCTCACTGTACCAGCACCCTCCTGGGAGAGAATTGGGACTAAAGAGAGGCTTTCTTCCGATGTAAATTGCGGGCATTATTATTGTGCTTTTTATATTTACTCATTTTAGGAATGCGTTTTTGATTTTGGGAGGCACAGGGCCACGTGTGAGAGTCTTAACGATTTTGTTCGGGAAATATATTGCATGCATTATTATTTTTACCGCGAGAGAAGCGGTTTTGAGCTGTTATGCACCATCTCCCCACTCACGCGGGATCACTGTCTCGCCCCAACCGTGGCCAGGAGCAAGGGGACGGCATGGGAGACATGGACGGGCTGGTGAACGGAGAAGGCGCCTCCGCAGGGAGCGCCACCCTGCTGCAGACGGGTGACCAGGGCGGCGTCGTCAAGTTCGGCTGGATCAAGGGGGTGCTGGTGCGTCAATGACAGCTTCCGCACGGCACGCTGACGATCCACCAAAAAATACACACGCGCCGCTGGCTCGCCGGGCTCTCGACAATGCCAGGGCCAACCTGAACCCACTCGCTCAGATAAATCCAAGCCACTGGCCGCCCTATGCGCCAGCTCGCTCGCCTACCTGCTCGCCCCTTGCACTTCACTGCCTATTCAGTAAACTTCCCTCCTACTCAACTATCCATGTACTCACCCACTGACCCACCTACTTACTCACCTACTCTCCTAGCCTCACCCACCCATCCATTACTTAATCACCCACCCACCTTCTTTCCCCACTCTCACGGTCAACCACACCCACAACCCACCCACTCATGCACCCAATCGACCACCCACCCGTCAACTCGCCCATCCACCTACTCAAGCAATCCACCCACCACCTGTACACTTGCTCATCCATCCACCCACCCAGTCAACCATTTACCCTCTCATATACTGAACCATCCTTCCCCCCCACCCACCTAATCACCTACCCATCCAGTCGACCCAACCAACCACCCATATAATCACCCACCTGCCCAACCAGTGAATCACCCACAGACCCATGAGCTCACTCGCCAACCATGCTATCAGCTGCACATCCCTCTTGAGTCACAGTTCAAGCTCCAATTTCAGGGGGACGGTGAATCATCGTTGCCGTGTACATAGACTGTTACGATGGCAAGATGTTAACTACCTCGCTAGGTATGCAGGAGATCGTGAGTTTGATCCCTACCCTTGACGCCTGCTGGAAATTTGGAGTTTGCGTGTCTCTCTGTACTCGTGATCGCGTGGACTCTTCTCCAGGTTTTTCCCTCCACATTTAGAAAAACGTGCGTTTCGAGTATTTGGCTGCTATAAATGTCCACGTGATAAGCCACTTCGTTGAGCTATCATTTGTGGCCAGGTCGCTTCCAAACAAGAGCTGTGTAGCTCAGTGGGCCTTACCTGGCAAAATTAAAAAAAACAGTTGATGCTTTAGTTTAGTTACATGATCACTTGGCGGCAGTGGCAGTGTCTTCCGGGCTCCTCGCCATGGCTTAGGGGAATTGTAAAACCCGCAGCAGATTGCCGGCACTCTCAAATTGGAAGGCGCTATCCATCATTGCTACGACGTGCTATTCCCCAACCCCACCAAAATCCCGCCCGCCTGGCCACTCCACGTTAACTCTTGTGCGGCACAACCGCGCACAAAATCTCTCGCAGAGTCGACCCGTCGCGTTAGCCAAGTGGCTAAGGTGAAGGCGACGCTCTGTAATTGCTCGTGCCACTGCTGGTGGAAGGACACCCCCCCCCCCCCCATTAGGAGGAGTCCAAGAGGAGCCCCCTCTTAAGGATAATTTTGGCCTACTTCTTCTTCACGCTGGGCAGACGTCTCAGAAGAGGTGGAAGTGCCCCACACATGACGGACCTCCATATCTATTAACTGTGGGTCGAACCCATTTATACCATAATGCAGGGTTTTTTTTTGGCTTTATCGCATACATATAAATGTGTCCGCGGGGTGGACAGAGACGGCGGTGGGGGTGATTTTAAGAAACTTTCTCCATCGTTTCAACTGCCACTTTGTGTTGAGTTTGTCCTTTCCCCACACCTCCGATTAGCACGGTTAGCAACGTACGGTGCAAAAGAAGTTCAACATACATACATGCTCCGGAATTGGCGACCTCAGGATTGCAAGTCCAGTGCTGCCAACCATAGTACCCAACCCTTAACCGCATCCACACAAACCATGGTAGATGTCTCTTACTGGCTGTGGCATGGACAATTAAAAACTCTCCAGCGTGTGACTGTGGTAACCCCGAGCATACCATGGAATACTCTTTGGTTCTTTCTGTAAAGTCACGTAGGTATAAAATAGAATAAATCGCTACTTTTCGGGCACAACACAAGCGTCCATCATCAGGTGGGAAAGCAAGGCCTGCTGCTGAGGCAGACTGTTTTAAAAAACGTCGTGATTTATTTTATTTTCTACCTACGTGACTTTACCGAAAAAAAAACAAAGTATGGATTCCTGCAGTCACGAAAGCTTCAAATCAACATTGGAATATTTAACAACTCAATTCCCCTGATTCACATCACAGTGAAACGCCACTCCTGATGCAATTATTCGTCCCAGCCACCTCGTTGTAAAATTGTAGCAGCTCGTCTCCATCTACGCGAGTCGTACAAAGAAGAAGATCATTCCACCAATGGGGCAACATCCAACCACGTGGGGTCCATTTATAAATGGATGGAAGGATTTCAGGAGGGGCACAACTCCATGAGCAGCGGTGGAACGCGAGCACGTGTTTTGTAAAAGACGTCAAATATTGTTGCACCTGAGGTCCAACTCGACTCGGTTGGCATCGATGGCCCACCGTAGAGGAACACAGTATGTGGTGGTTTGTTTTGGTTTTTGGAAGAAAAATAATAGCTCCGTGTGAACTTCTCCGGGGCGGTGGTTTTGGCGAGCCAAGTGCACATTAGCGCTGCACTCGAGAGCAGATTAGGTGACTGCTCGCGGAGCGATTTTTGGCAGTGGGCACCCACTGGTGATGCGCGCACCACAACGACAACCGCTGTACACCACTAAGTGGCGGTTGACGTCACCACGGCGCTTGTGCCATGCTAGGTGCACTTTGAGGCCGCGTGAAGTGCCGAAGGCCTGCCAGCAGGAGGTCACGGGACAGACCAAGGTGCCATGGGTTGGCCTACTGAGATGACTGGCTGATGCACTAACTGTGCTCCCCACTGTGCCACCTCTGTACTTTAGCCACCTGGTGCTCCGCTCATCGTTGTGAGTGTCGCTCCTCTACCCTCTGTTGTTGCTGCAGAGCGACTGCCTCCAACTCTCCAGCAGTGTCCTTCACGGGCCACCTTCAAATAGGCCGATCTTGATCAGTCATGTTCAAGTCCAATCAACTCCATGTAATAAAACGCAAGAAACGTCGTAATAAAATCTTAGTTGATACCACATTTTGCCGTTGCTGCAAAAAATCGGGAAACATCATTGGAAGAAGCGGAAGAGCTCGCGAGACCAGAAGAATGGAGCGCTTCCGTGTAAATGCATCGTCCTTGAGTGGTTTGCGCGACTTACTCAACCCGATCAAAAACCGGCGACTTTTGAACGTTGCGGGAAATCCGAAGAGTCTTCCCGCACCGCCGCGGCGGCTGCCTCGACGACGGGAGAACGATGGTGGGAGAGCGTCGCGCAGAAGGTCGCCGTGCGTTTTTGAGCTGCGCTCTGGGCAGACGAACGGTGACACCTCCAAGCGTCCGCCGTCGTTGTCGTCGGCCTCCTCTGGCGTGCGGCGAGCAAGGGGGGTGGAGGGTTGGTGACCGTTTGAGTGGCGGCTCGGTACCTCCGATTTCAGCACGGTCGGCTTCGTACGGCGCAAAAGAAGTTCTACAAACGACATACAGCTGCCGAGTATGCAGGCGGCGCAACCGCACCGGAGCCCTGCGGGGTCGGAGGGGAGCGCAGGGGCAGCGAGGCAGCGCGGTGGTCTGGAGAGGGGGGGGGGGGCAATCGCATTGAGGGCCCCCACCCCCTCCCCCGAAGCATTTAATTTTCTTGAGCCTGGGGCCCATCGCCAGCCACGCTACCTACGCCGCTGCCTGGCGGGAGAACGGTTCGCCTCGGCAATCCGCAGCGGCAGCCCTGCCCTGCTAAGGCTGCATTTATGCTGTGCAGGTGTTGCCAATTAACCGGAGCGAAGGTGGTTCATGCATGTAGGGGTTAACACTCGAGGGAGAAATCCACTGTACTTCGATTTCAAAATAACATCGCCGCCGCCGTACGCATAGAAACCGGCTCGCCGATGGCGGGGGGCTGGGCCCACGCTCCAGCGGGGGATCGGGGGTCGGGGGGGGGGGGGCGGCCGTTTGCGGCGCATCGTGCGGCTCCCGGCTCGGATTGGCACGTACGTGATTCGCGTTGCCGCTCGCTCGGGGGAATTGTTTTAACGTAGAGGATTTTATAACGGATTTTCCATGATCCCGTCGCACAATGGCTGGGGGCATTCAACTGACAAGAGGACATTAGGGTGTTGTTGTGATGTGGATGGTCGTCTTCATCGGCTGCGCTCGGATCACTCCACTGCCGGATGAAGGCCTCGCCGAGCCGCCTAGCGCCCGCCCACGAGCCGATTTTCCTCACGCCATCTCTCCGGTCGGCATCCTCTCGGACGCGTTCCGTACCTTTTGGCCGCCGATTTGCTGTCTTCCACCTCGACGACGAGGGTTGACCCTCCAGACTGGGCCCTCCCGCGTGTCGTGCGTGGCGATTTGGTCAAACCCAGAAGGCGTCCCGGTCGTACCCGGTGGCTCGTAGCCCCCACCCTTGCTCCTTCACCCTTTACCCAACGCGACTGCTGGTAGATCCAGAACCGCGGTGTAGGAGCTGTCGGTCGTGTAAGTGAAGCGGGGAACGTAGTTTGTTAATTTTCACGGGGGTCACATGATGATTTTACAGCCCATGTCTCGATACACTGCTGGATGATGACCACCCAACCGCAGTGTCGGGCACGGGTGTTGTTTGTCCGTACTTCACCACTGCTGGTCACGGTGCGTGTTGGTGAGGGGAGCACTAATTGCCCAGAAACTGGTCATCCTCTTCGTGCCCCTTATCAAAGCTTTACTGGAAGAGTTTGCTGTTGCTGCTGCTGTAAACCCTCGCGAAAACGAGATGGGCATAGACGCCAGGCCTCGTCGTGCTCTGTCAAGTGACCTCCTAACATTTTAATCTTTTTTTCCTGGAGTAGTAGCGGTGCTCTGGCTGGGTTTGTCCCTCCCACACTGGAATCTGCGCTCTCACGGAAGAGCCCCAGTCGCCGTTAATGGACTTGACAGCTCTGCTGAAGAGGCATTTCATGCATCCGTGCGCAAATGTCACGTTCGCCCACTCTAGTGGATTTTGGATCCCTTTGTTTTTAAACGACCCCATTCATCGAAGTCGCCGAAGGAGCACGTACTACAACTTTCTGTGTTTAGAAAAATATATAACCTGGCCGTTTTTTTTACATTTTGTTTTCCAAACAACCACCGGCATTGTTCCTGGCCTGGAGGGTACCGGCCATAATACGCCCTCAATCGCGAGGATCCAGCTTCAATTGGCCTCCATCTAAAAGTCTCCCTTGCCTTGGCCTCATGCGTCCTGACTTTTAATCCAAGACTCTCTCCCCGTGACGACGCAGAGGGTGAAATTTCAAGTTGCCTTGACTACAATCTCGTATTAACGTCATTTATATCGCGTCTTGGCGAAGGCGTGTTACAGAGAAATCACAAAGGTAAGTATGAATGCAGTGTTGAAGATGAGGTGAATAAATAGATGAGATGAAGTGATTGGGCGAACCTGTGATGCGTGCATAAAGTAAAGGCTAAATGTACGAGAGCAAATAATGGCGAATGGATTGGATGGAAGGGGAATGAGTGCGAGCCATGGAGAGGGATTGTGAAGAGCGAGCAGGAACGGTCGTAGTATTTATAAGGGGTAGTGGGGTGAGCGAGGGAGGAGCGGAAACTTGCGTGAGCAAAGGTGGCCGCTTAACGCGGAGGGGAAGTTTGTTCCAGTGAAGGGGGGGGGCGAGAGAAGAGGAAGGGCATAAGTTTGGTTGAGCAGCAGCAGGAGGAGGACGAACGGGAGAAACGACAAAGACTGAGAACGTGGAGGGCGAGAAGGGACACAAGAGGGGCACAAAAGGGACACAAGAGGGACACACGAGGGACACAGGAGGGACACACGAGGGACACAGGAGGGACACAGGAGGGACACAGGAGGGGGACACATGAGGGACAGAGAAGGGACACACGAGGGACACACGAGGGACACACGAGGGACACACGAGGGACACACGAGGGACACACGAGGGACACACAAGGGACACAGGAGGGACACACGAGTGGCAGGATATGGTGGGGCAAGGCCATGAAGGAATGTTTTAGACCGGGGAGAGGAATTTGAACAGGCAGTGATAATAAACAGATCCTTCTCTATCTGAGGTCAAAGTGATTTCCTCATCAAATTAGTATTGAGGTGGTGCCCAAGTTCCCGTTTACAGTCCTGAGGCAGTGGTGGAATTTCCCCATCCCGAAATCTTGAGCGTTTGTCCGTGTATCTGAAGAGCAATGGAAAATAACGGATCGGCTAAAGGTCAGCTGGTAGAGAAAGCTGCAGTACTAATCGTGGGACGCGAGGCCAAATGACAGACGGGGTCAACTCTATCTCATCAACCTGAATTCTTCGCCTCGATCACCAACCTGTGGTCACAACACTGGACCTGGAGGTCGACGCTGTTTGTCCACAGAACGCGGCTCTCCCTGCCATGGAAACGGAAAATTTCCAGCACTGACCGAGGAGGGTCAGCCGGTGACGGAACAGGGCTCCGTGCTCGTTAAGGGTGTGGGGAGAGACTTTGGGCCCTGGCCGACGATTTACGAGAGGCGGTGGCGCGGCAGATTGAGTCGCTCTCTAGTCACGTGTGCAGTGCGTTGACGATGGCGTGGCGGCCAGCGGACGGAGATGTGCCCAAGAGAGGGACGATCACCTCGGAGACGGAACAAGAATGACATGAAAGCAACACGAAAAATCGGGGTTAAAGCAATTTTGCTTAGCCTTGTCAAACCAAACCCAAAACCGGCCGAACCGTGCAGGTGAAAGTTTCCGTGGGTGTTTGTAAATACACCCCCCCCTCTCTCCTGCTCGTTATGGCTGGAATCTACGCCAAACTCGAGCCCAGACGGTAGCAACCCCGGTCTTGAGACATCGCCGCCTGCTCTTGGTTTGACGGTTCCCTGCCCCCAGGTTCAGTGTCACCAACGCGACGACGACGAGATAACAGCGGCACGGTTGGCCGCCACCACCGCTTCCTGGAGATGGTGGTGTGGTGAGGGTGGTGGGGGGGGGGACAGAGGGAGGAGTCTGGATCCGATCCATCGCATGACTCATTGGGGTCGTCCTAAGCACACTGTTGGTGTAGCATTGAATTGTCTGAATTGTATATTTCCGCGCTGCCATTTTTAATTCCAATTTTTTTCATCGGCGTTCCACGTTATAGTCGGAGCTCTGCAGCTAGCATTGCATCACTCTGTGCTGGAGAAAGGTTACTGGAAGATTAGCACGGTTGGCTACGTACGGTGCAAAATGTCTCTACGCGAGAGATGCTCAGGGGTGTTTCTTGTCACGGCATCGTTCCAATCGCACAATCGGGGTGAAATTCGGGAAAAATATATTACTTGTGTTTGTTTTTGTGAAAGAAGCAAGTGTGCCCGCATGCGCCATGGGTGGCTGCCTCCGATGCCCCCGACGGGTACAATTTGGCGCGATGCCGAATTTTCCGAAAGGTCACGTCCCCCAGTGCAGCCGTGAAAGTAATGGTTTTCACAAGTCGACCTTTTTTATAGAGCGCCGCCCACCAACACGGACACGGGGTGGGGGTGGGGGGGGGGGCGCCACCACGGGGTCGGACGGGGGGCCTCTGGCCGCGGCCGTACAGGTCGCACACCGGGGTGGGGTGTGTGGAGCATAGCGGTCAGCGCTGCGGTCGGCGCGCTGCGCTATGAACCCGGCAACCCGAGTTCGATTCCCGTTCATGGCCAACTACCCGTCGCCACTTGGGAGACAAAAGGCCCCGGGCGTGGTGCTGCCCCCACCCCTCCATGTGTCGTGCCGGCCTTCGTAGGTGCTCACTAACCGCACTTGCCTCAAAAGTCTGTAGAGGCTATACGGGGGATCTTTGTCTTTGCAGTGGCAGCGTGAGTGTAAATATCAAACACGTGTGGGGGCTTCTGTTAGGTTGTCCAAGTTGTGTACATCGGCACCGGTGCTGGGGGGGGCAGGACAGTGACCTCTGCTGGCGAAATAGGTGCTTGCCGACGCTACTGACATTCCAGCAGTCTGTCTAACAGAGGGATGTTTTGTGTGCCGTGTGCGTCTGACAGGTACGATGCATGCTCAACATCTGGGGCGTGATGCTCTTCATCCGCTTGTCGTGGATCGTCGGGCAGGCCGGCATAGGTACGTTTCCACCCCCTCCGTCGTTTTGCGTCGTTCGTGTGCGTGTCTCCTCTGTTCTTGGCGTTTGTTTTAAACCTGTCGAGGTCGCGCGACGCCGCCTTGGAGGTTGCGACGCTGGGCCGCCGAGCGTCCGAGCGACCTGTGGGAGCGTGCAGGTGTGGCCCGGGGCTCGCCGGAGGTGAGCGTTTTTATAACCCCCAGCTGTAAATTGGCGGGTGAAACGACTTGTCCACCAGGAGGTGGATGAAGCGCCGTGGTGCCGAGTCGCGTTTCGATTCAAGAATCAATGATTCGTTCTTGCTTTGGGGTGAATGTCGCGGCTTTTAAGTTGAAGGCGGTAATTAATTTACAGCCGTTCTGTCAATCCACTGCTCGATGAATGCCTCTTCCATGCTGTGTCGGTCACGGTTGTTTGAACATACTTCACCACGCCGGTCGGTGCGGTCCTGCGGATGGGAGTGGAGCCAGGACCATTTTGAGATATTGGGCTCTGATCGTCGGGTTCACGATGCAGTGTCTCAAACCACTGCACCACCTGCTCCCGCACACGTGTTGGTAGTACCAAAATTAATCATGAATGCTTTACAGTTGCCGAAGGAAAACCTCCACCACACGTGTGCGCGTGCGTTCGAATTGAAAGTTACAATTTAACACGCACAGAATTTGCGCGTATCGCGAGCTCGACAAATCGATGTGAATTGATACACCCCCTAGTTGTCGTCTTCTTCTTCTGCCGCGTAAAAATAGCAAGGGGAGATGTCGCGTGTTTACTTCCAGTCAAGGACATCAGTGGATATACGGAATGAACTTTAGTCGTGCCGCCGAGAACGACTCGTAAGGGGTGACTGTTCACGGCGGCGCGCTCCGTTGGGTGGCATTCGCCCGCGCAGTTGCAGCGCGAGTTGTCCCGTAATCCTCGTCGCCCCACATGCATCGCGTGTAAGCCCCCGTCGCCCCCCGTGGGAAGACCTGGTGCAGGTTACAATTACCCCGAATGTCTTGGGTCCTCACTATCACGCTCGAGTTGATGGTTTTCAACCTGGGCGCCGTGGTGGCGAGATGTTAACTACCTCGCTGGGTGTGCAGGAGGTCGTGGGTTCAATCCCGACCCTTGACGCCCGCTGTATATTTGGAGTTTGCATGTCTCTCTCCCCGTTGTCGCGGGGATTTTTCTCCGGGTCCCTCTAGTTTTTCCCTCCGCATTTAGAAACGTGCGCTTGGAGTATTTGGTTGCTATAAATTTCCACGTGATAAGCCGCGTCTCTGAGCTATTATTTGTGGCCAGGTTGCTTCTGCAAAAGAGCTATATAGCTCAGTGGGCCTTACCTGGTAAAATAAAAAATTGTTTAGTTTATAATGTGGTTAAAACCTCGAAGTACACGAGCCCTCTTCTGCGACGGCATCTGGCCATCGCCGCTGGCCGTAGAACGTTGGTGCCACTTTGTGGAGAACGTGCACCGCCCCGGACACTGGCTTGGCGGGGCGGCTGTGTAGACAGAACGTGCCGGGCCGCGTGGAGCCAGTTTCATTTAGCGCCGGACTTTTCGCAGAGCGCACTGCTCCGTGGGTCGCTCCGCTTTTGAGCCTCGACTGGAGCGAGCTGTGGTGAGAAAGAGTGAGTGAGAAAGAAAGTAAAAAAAAACCTAAAAATGTATTTTTCGTTTATCCGCCTTCGGTAGTTGAACGGAGTTTTTTTGTGTTGACATCCAGCGCTTTGTAAACAAATAGAGTGTGCGGCAGTGGGGTTTATCTGGCGCGCGGTTTGTGTGCAAGGCCCTGAGCTCGCGACCTCCGAGCCCTGAGCACTGCGTCATATCTGAGAGAGCACACATTCAACAACGCCAGTGGTGGACAAATAGTTCGTTAATTCTGCGACATTAGCCCCGGCTTGGCAGTTGCGCCGAGAAATGAACGCGCCGTACGGGCGGGCGGGGGGGAGACGGGATACCTGGATCGGCTGCAGGTCACAACGACGCACTCGCTCACCCACTGGTCCGCTCACTAACTCGCCCACACACTCGCCGCACTGCAGGTCACCTCACTTCTCCATCCGCCTCTTCCCTCGCTCTGCTCCACTTGGGAATTCCCTCCCTCCATCGTCTTTTTCCCCCCCCCCCCCCCCCCCCCAAGCTCTTTAAAAGTGCAGTTTGTGGCTGGCCGCGTGACGCTTTGGGCCTGATGGGTCTGCGCCCATCTACTATGTAAACAAAAAAAAGCAAGCTTATGTACGCACGCACACACGCATCGGTGCGTGAGTGCGTGCGCAGTGACGTGCGTGAGCCATGCCTAGGCCGCCCGACAATCGCCTTCACGCTAGTTTGCCCGTGGCGATTTACACACACTACGAGTGCGGTACGTCATCGGCACGCATGCACGCTCGCTCGCTCGCATCCGAACACGGGGTGCGCTTGTTAGTGGGCGCAATTAACTCGAGAAGCATCGCGCGCTTGGCAAAATGCGCACTCGCACAACAACACTCCTGTTATAAGTGCTTCGTGAACTAAAATATATATAAAAACAAATGGCCAGAATCAAATGTACTTGAATATAGCACTTGCGTATATTATATATACCGAAAGACAAAGATCCCCCTGTGTAGCGTGCACAGACTATTGGGGTGAGCACAATTGGCGACGGCAGTTTCGGTACTCAAGGGGATGGGTGGACAACAGCACGTCTGGCTGCCTGTGTCTCCCCAGTGCCGATGTTTACACACCGCACCAGGTACTCATTTGAGGTGGAGTCAACCTAGGGGTTGGCCCACGACCGGTTCAGATATTCCCCGCTGTGATTTGCTCGTGAGCGGGTATCGAACTCCGGTCGACGCGTTCACATCGCAGTACGCTGCTCCACCGTCTGTGTGCGTGCGCGTGCATGCGTGCACCCACGGGCACAGAAGCACAGAGGTGTGGGGAGTAAGCGGGCTTTGGCAGGACACCGCTGCTGTGCCGGGGATGGTGGCAGCCGAGGGACGGAGCGTTCCCAAGCGGCGGTGGGTGTGCACCTGTAGACGCGGAGCGATTTTTCTATCCGCGTCTACAAGTGCAGGACCTAAGGTGGATCGTTGCATTGCAAGGGCCACGGAGAGATGGGCGCGATGGCTTTTGGGGGAGGCCTTAACGCATGACGTTCGCGCGTTGGCGTTGCGCGGTGACTTTTTGGAGCCGCCTCGTTGCTCTTGCCGTGTGCCACGGTTGCCGCCCGTTTGCCACGACGGACGGATGGTGAATGGTGTGCAGTCCCCCGCTCTCTGTCTACGCCTTATCCAAACGCGCACCATTCTGCACTCGCTTGTAGTCCCGCGATGTCTGTTGCTCCGCTACTGGCCGGCGGCGGTGGGGGGGGGGGGGGGCGATTTGGCGGTGTTCGCCGGACTTTTCGTTCTCTCCGTTAAACACAAACATTTTCACATTTTTGGTCGCATTGCTCAACCCCACGTGACTTTTTGGCTGCCGAGTTCCAAGCGGAATGACGGACAAACAAACAAGCGTGTTTCAGAAAACCATTAGGCGATGGCGTACACATACACAGTTGATTAAAACCTCACAATTAAAGCAATTTGACAGAGACACCGGTACAAAATTGGATTTTCTTACACACACGCACGCACATGGCGTTCGCTGGTAATTGGAGAAAGGAGTAAACATCGCTGGGAGGGAGGGCGGTGGGGGCGGGGTGGTGGAGGAAGGGGGGCGGGGGGGGTTTTGGGGCATTATGCGGATGGGGGCTTGTGCTGGCACGGCACAAGGGCCCTCGCTGTTCTCGCCTCTCAATCACCGGCGAGCGCGCAAGCCGAGCTCCGAATAACAGCGCTCTTGTGTTTTGCCGTTATTACTCCTCTCTCTCTCCCTCTATTATTTGGGCGGCAATTAATTGGGGGGGGGGGTACGTTTCTCTCCACGTGTAAGGGATCTGCGCGTAGAGCCGGCGCCGCCCCCGCTTGATGTTGCGCCCTCCCCGCGCCCCCCCCAAGACGGGGTTGGGGAAGGACGGCGGGGGCGGGGGGCTCGTTGAGGCTTTGCGCATTAATTATGAATGGGGGCTCGAATGAGACGGCGCCTTTGCACTCCGCGCTTCCTTCCCCGCGACCTGCCGGGTTTAACCCCTTCACCCGTGATGGTGGACTCGGCACGCCCGGCCGGCGCCGGTGTCTGAATCTCCGCTGCCGACGAGCGCGGGTGCCGGGAGTCGGTGAAAATCCGGTGGGCGGCGACGAGAATCTCCGGAGGAGGCTCGCGGGGCCTGAAGGCTGCTTCTCGGGAGGACCCTGCTACATTGGGGAAGTTTGATCCGGTTATTTTGTTTTTTAATTGGCGAGCGGGGTTTTTTTGTTTTGCTTGCTGTGGTCCTTGCCGTGTGGGAGGAAAGCGGCGTGAGCGAAGAGTGCCCGGATTAATAACCCGGCACGCACGAGAAGCTGCTGGAGATCATGCTCGAAACGCCCGCACAGATTGGTGACGAACCTACTCGCCGCACCGCCACCTCCTGATCACGTCCCCCGGCCTCACGAGGGTTCTGAAAGGTTTGCAAGTCCCCCCCCCCTCCCCCGCCGTGATCCGGCGAGCGTGCGGAAGAAGTGTCCAATTGCGGCCCGCGAGAGGTGCTGGGTGCGACGCGAGTGGCTGCGTTCCACGCGTCGTACCAAGACGCGTGTGTCCGGTGTCGGCGGTGAAATGAGTCCCTCCGCTCGGACAATGGTGAGGATTATTTTGGAGTAGAAACATTGGCGCTCGATTTATAGGACGTGGTGCGAAGCCGCGGGGCCGCCGATAAATTTTTGCTAATTCTTGTCGCGGGGGGAAAGCGTTAAGGCTGCACGGACCGCCCGCCCACCACTCCCCACCCCCAGCCCGCTGGCAGTGGCCTTCAGCGAAATGCGGCACTCGGCCATCCCAGGGGATAGAGCACGGGGGCGGTGTGGTGATGGCGGGGAAAGTGGGGGCTTCTTCACGGCCGTGGCTGGGATGAGAGCGCGTGTGTGTGTGTGTGTGGGGAGCGGT